ACCCTCCATTCTCAACAACATCCTAGTAAATGTCTTCTGAACCCTCTCTGGTTTAACAATATCCTTCCTATAACTGGGTGACTAGAACTGGACACAGTACTCCAGAAGAGGACTCACCCATGTCCTGTACAACTTCAACATGATATCCCAACTCCTACACTCAAAGATCTGAGCAATGAAGGCAAGCTAGCTGGATGTCTTCCTCATCGCCCTGTCTACACGTGACACAAACTTCAAAGGATCATGTACCTGAATCCCTAGGTCTCTGTCTTCTGTTGCAATACCCAAAGCCCTACTTTTAAATTGTGTAAGTCCTGCCCTTGTTTGTTTCGCCAAAATGCAATGGTTTGGCCTCAAACATCTGTGGTCGGAAATTCCTCAGGCTCACTCACTCTTGACAAGCAGTCTGTGGGTTACAGAGATGATCAGCACAGACTCATTCGTCATTTGGTCGTACGCGGGTGCTATATAAATGCAGTCATTCCTAACGTTTAAAAACAAATCAAGCATACATTTGGGTTACAGATGGAGTGCAACCAGAGAACCTGACAGCTGTAACCTATTTGTAACAAGTAAATGCGCAGTTTTTCATTTCCTCACTGAAGCAATAACATCAACATTTCAGAATCCGTTCAAGGAAGAGGAGAGGTTTTTGTGGTAATCTTACGAAAAAGGGTTAGGTCTGTATCCATTGTGATTTAGATGAATGAGGGGTGATCTGGTTGAAACATATAGGAGAATTTGACACAATTCTGTTGGATAAGATAAAAACCAAAGGACACAGTTTAAAAATTAGAGTGTATCCTGTTTAAGATGAGAGTCCCTCCCTTTCTCAGGGATGGGAGTCTGTAGAACTCTCCATCCTACACAGTTGTGGATATTATTAGTTAAAAGTATATTTATAATACAGTATGATTATAGATTAAAAAGAAATTGAATATTTTTAAGGCAGAGCGAGATAGATTTCATGGCTAACGAGGGAGTCAGCGATATCACAGTAGCTGGGAATGTGGAGATGAGGCCATTATTAGATGATCAGCCGTGATCTTACCAATGAGCAGAACAGGCTGGAGGGGCTGAATGGCCAGCTCCTGTTTGTAATCTGTATAGGGCTAGACTTTCAGGCTGCAAGAGGGGCAAGCGTTAAGCTGAGAAGGAATGGAATTGCCCACTGCCCACTAGCGTTATATTTTTGCAGCAGCCACCCACAGCTGGGTTTTTGTCCCGGAGACAGGATTGGCAACCATCCTTAGCTGCTGAGAAGCATAGGGTTTCCAGGCCCTCGGAGGCTTATCGTCGAAATGGGAACATTCCACTAGGGCCTACGGGCCCCCAGAGATTATCAGAGGCTGTTGAATTGAATTGAATTGATTTAGCTTTATTGTCACGTGTACTCAAATGAGTAACAGTGAGAAGTTTATAAGTCACCACTTTACAGAACCATCTTCGGTACAGAGTACTGAGCTACAATCCCAGGCTCACAGCCTGGACGTGTTCTCATGGCAACAGACCAGGGGCCCAGCATCTCCAAATTTTGGATGACCTCCTAGCCTGCCTGGTTTCAAGAAAGTGCACTCCTGAGGCGAAAAGGACCAGGTGCTCAATCTTTTAGTTTAAGCTGTGCATAGATGCCATCCCAAAATGGAGGCAGCCCCCTCCAGGTACCTTCACCCAAAAAGGAAGCCTGCACTTCCTTCAGTGCTGGACGTCCTCCATCTTTGAGTCCTACCCTCCCTACTTACTTGGACATCCTACCACCTCCCTGAACCATTAATTTGACCAACTGGGGGAAAATCGCAGCTGGGTAGGGGGGTGATTTCTCATGTACTGCGAGCTCCTGAACCCCGAACTCTCCCGCAAATTTGATCCTGACATCGAGGTCTCAAAGTCTATACTGTGAATCTGACTCATAACGTCAATGCTTCTGTACTCCGCTCTCTCGACATAGTTGTCAGCTTTCCAACCACTCTTTAGCAACAATCTAAGGTTGCGAGTTTGAGACCCACTCCAGAAACTGGAGGCTGCAAACCAGCTTTAGACTGCAGCGAAGCTCTGTAC